AAAAAAAAAAAAAAAGTATATAGCTCATGCCTATAATCCCAGCACTTTCCAGGGTGGGTGGATCACTTGAGCCTAGGAGTTTGAGACCAGACTGGACAACATTGTAAAAACCCATCTCTACTAAAAAAAATACAAAAATTAGCCAGGCATAGTGGTATGCATCTGTAATCCCAGGTACTCAGGAGACTGAAGCGGTATGAGAATCACTTGAGCTCAGGAGGCAGAGGTTGCAGTTTGCAGTGAGCTGAGATCATGCCACTGCACTCCAGCCCAAATTTTAAAAATTATATATACATGATTTTGTGATTTTTTTCTTCCTTTGCATACAAAACTATAATAATTGAGCTATTTTTGACTGATACAAAATGTCAATGTTTTAGTGCAAACTAATGCTGCTTTTGACTCTTTGAAAAGCAGTTTTTAAAAAATCATCTATGATCTCATTGGCAGCATTGCATCATTCATACTTTCTAAACCTAACTCTGTTCTAGATGTTCTACTGCACATGGCAGGATCACACAATATCACAGTGCTGTTCATAAAGCAATAACTGATTTTAGCTTTTTATTATGGAAATGTTAAAAAAATACACAAAGTAGGCTGGGCACGGTAGCTCATGTATGTAATCCTGGCACTTTGGGAGGCCAAGTTGGATGGATTGCTTGAGGCCAGGAGTTTGAGACCAGCCTGGGCAACATGGCAAAATCCCATCTCTACAAAAAATACAAAAATTAGCTGGGTGTGGTGATCCACACCTACAGTCTGAGATACTCAAGGGGCTGAGGTGGGAGGATTAGGATCACTTGAGCCTGTAGGCTGAGGCTATATTACCACCAGCAGCGTATGAAAATTCCCTTTCCTGCAATTCGCTGTATCCTTAATGACATTTGATATTCTCCAACTTAAGAATTCTTGCTAATTTGGTGCATGTGTAGTAGTATCTCACTGCTTTTTAAAATTTTTTTGAAAGGGAGTCTCACTCTGTTGCCCAGGCTGGAGTGCAGTGGCATGCCCTTGGCTCACAGCAACCTCCGCCTCCTGGGTTCAAGCAATTCTCCTGCCTTACCCAGTCCCTATCCCACCCTCTGCCCCGCCGCAGTAGCTAGGAGCCCAGCTAATTTTTGTATTTTTAGTAGAGACAGGGTTTTGCCAAGTTGGCCAGGCTGGTCTCCAATTCCTGACCTCAGATGATCCTCCCACCTCAGCCTCCCAAAGTGCTGGGATTACAGGCGTGTGCCACCACACTCAGCTAACTTTTGTATTTTTAGTAGAGGCGGGGTTTCACCATGTTGACTAGGCTGATCTTGAACTCCTGACCTCAAGTAATCCACCCACCTTGGACTCCCAAAGTGCTGGGATTACAGAAGTGAGCCAGAGTGCCCAGCTGGACCTACCTTTCTGTGCATGTCTTCATTCTCCCTTCTCTCTGAACTGGCAGTGATGAACAGCACATGGTAAAACATGCCTCCACACCACTCCTTCACACGCCTCCCTGGTTTACACATCTCCAGTCCAAGGGACCAGCAGAGACGATGTCCTAGTTCCAAATTCCCAGGAAAGAGAATATAATTTGCCCACCTTGGGCCAGGCACCCAGGCCTGTCCAGACCGATCAACTGACACCAGGGATTGGAGTCATCAAATACAGCATCAGCCATTGAGTGCTCTGCCAGGAGGACTGTGTTCTTTGCTAAGTTAGAAACCGGTCTTGAGAGTAACACAGGCTTCCTGATTCTCACCATGAATCACTTTCTACAATACCCGTCATCTTCCCCCCAATCCTCACAGGCATGCCGCATATAGTTGTTCAAGCTGTGCATTGCACAACCATAGGGGGTGTGATCTGCATTTTAGGTCCTGTGGACATGAATATTTATCTACCAATTTCTGATAGGTGGACTCTGACCAAGTAAGAGTCTTAGGGAAGGAGAATCTCATGCTAATGTAAACAAAAATGACAGATAGATAGTCTAGGGATGGCCCTGCCTTCCTCCACTTCTCTTCTCTGTCCCTTTGGAGCATGGAAAGAATTGGGGGAGGGGAGCAGCTACCCTCGACCTTGTCCCCAAGATCTGATCTGTCCATCTCCCCACAGGTGGGCGCATCCTTGTTTGCCAGCAATGTTGGAAGTGGACATTTCATTGGCCTCGCAGGGTCAGGTGCTGCTACAGGCCTTTCTGTGTCAGCTTATGAGCTTAATGTAAGTATTTTACCCAGGGCATAGATGACATCTTACATCTACCTCATAGGTAGATCTCAGGGGAAAGTTGTGTGAATGCCCTGCACTTTAAAAATAGAATGGTGGGGCCAGGCACGGTGGCTTATGCCTATAATCCCAGCACTTTGGGAGGCCAAGTCAGGAGGATCACCTGAGGTCAGGAGTTTAAGACCAGCCTGGCCAACATGGTGAAACCTCAACTCTACTAAAAATACGAAAAATTAACCAGGCATAATGCAGGATGCCATAATCCCAGCTACTTGGGAGACTGGGGCAGGAGAATTGCTTGAACCTGTGAGGCGGAGGTTGCAGTGAGCCGAGATCGCACCACTGCACTCCAGCCTGGGCAACAAGAGTGAGACACCATCTCCAAAAAAAAAGGAAATATGAAGGCCAGTGAAGGAGAATCACTCAGCAAGTAAGAGACTACACCACAGGTGGAGTTCAGGCCAGGCTGCCTCAGGACACAGAGGGAAATCCAAATGGGCACCTTGTTGTGAGCTGGGGCCAGGTCCTGACTGTGTTTTCTTGAGCAGGGCTTGTTTTCTGTGCTGATGTTGGCCTGGATCTTCCTCCCCATCTACATTGCTGGTCAGGTGAGTTGGGGAGGGGGGCGCTGGGATGCTGTAGAATTGAAAGATGCTTTGGGAATATCAGCCCTGCAGTCCCTCCCTCATTCTGTGATCCCTCCCTCCTGCCTATGGTCATCCATCAGATTGCCACTCAGAGGCCCCAGTAAAAAGGAGGGATGATCCACAGGTGAGACAATGAGGAACCCAGTCCATAGCACTTCCCCCAGTACCCAATATCCAAGGCACACAGAGGGTATTTGAAGTCCAAAAATGGTAAATACCAAAACACAAATGTAAAGCTCACGATTTCTTTTAAATGTTTAAATCACAACATGTTTCTGCACATTTTTTTTTTGAGACAGGGTCTGGCTGTGTCCCCAGGATGAAATGGGGTGGTGCAATCTCGGCTCACTGCAGCCTTCGCCTCCTGGTCACAAGCGATCCTCCCGCCTCAGCCACCCCAGCAGCTGGGACCACAGGTGCACGCCACCACGCCCAGCTAATTTTTGTATTTTTTTTTTTAGTCGAAAATACAAAAATTTCGCCATGTTGCCCAGGCTAGTCTCGAACTCATGGGCTCAAGTGATCCGCCCATCTCAGCCTCCCAATTTGAGTAGCTGGAATTACAAGCATGAGCCACTATGCCCAGCCTATGTTTCTGCTT